GGCATAAAAAGAAAAAAAAAAAAGAAAGAAAAAAGAAAATTGTTTTAGGAAAATTGCTTTAATGACCGCCTTACAAAACTCCACAAAACAAACAAAAGCCCACACAAATAAATTCAAGAAAAAAAAATAGCCGTGTGATTTAAATGCTCCATATTGACAGCCCTAGGAACAGAGGAGTGGGTTGATTAGAATATGGCTTTTAATGGATGCACAGTCATTTAAAACAAAGTTGACATTATTGAAATAACACTTTTTTTTTCAGATGTAACCGCATACCAAATGACCTTGAAAAGACACAACAATTACTACTACACATGCAAGATACATTATCACCAAAGCTAAGGCTTGATTTCTTAAGATACACCAGCCAGACTGGAACATTAGGAACTGGGATGAGTTCTAAGATAAGATGTTAGAGTCAATAAGATAAATGAGTGAATAAAAAAGCTCCATTTGCCGGGGCAAAAGCTGTATGTTGATTGTGAGAAATTCAATTTTGCATTTCAGAAAAAATACACCCCACAACCTCTCCCAAATGTTGAAGCCGGTTTCAAATTAAGCGGTGGTGTTCCAGCACGAAGAGCACCTACTGCCTTAAAAACTCATCGTTAATTATCGTTCAAAATAGACTGTTGGCGTTTGCTAAGCCTGTGAGATCCTCATGGTGGCACAATCTAATAGCTGTGCTCATACAGCATCTACCATGATACACACCCCGTAAAAATAGAAGCCCAAATAACTAGAGTCATTACACACACACATACATATATGCGGTTTATGCAGATATTACTGCCAAAAAATTATTCGCCCATAAAGACAAGGATTGGATCTTGCTGTCCCAAAATGAGAATTTTACTCTAATCACATAAAAAGAACAACTTCATAAATGCAGGAAGAAAGAGAGAAATGATGCTTCATGTGAGAAGGAAGTCCATTTAAAGCTCGAATAAATTGATGCTGTCAGGAGAAAAAAAGCTTGTATATGCAAATAGAGGTTTATTACCCGTTTTTGTCCTCCTAAGAAACATAATTTACTAACCTTTGAGAGATGGGTCAAGTGGGCTTACGGAATAAGAAACAAAGGCATCTCTTTTGGCAACTGCCATGTTCCAGAGCAGCAATTATCCTTCCCTCTTCCCGTGAGCAGCAGGAAATGAAGAGGGGTGCCATTACACTATGACAATTACTGTAATTTTAATTTCTAAAAATTGTCAGGAAAGTTTCCTCTAAAAAGAAAAAAAAAAAAAAAAAAAAAATCAGCTAAAACAGAGCTGTGCTTCCCCTGCTCCCACTCCCTTTGGGGAACCACCCACAAAGTCTATATGGTGAGAAAGCCCACTTCCCTCCTCATTAGCTGAGAGGATAGAATGGATAAGTGTGGTCAATGAGGATCCAGGCAAGACGGAGGTGGCCCAAAGACGTGTTGCAGATGCCATGAGAATGTAGAAAATGGGCTGCCCCTGCTAGGCACTGCCTAGCCCAGTCTGCTACCGGGTTTAATATCACTTGAACTTAGTCTTGAGCCCAGTAACCTATTCTTTCTATGGGAATTAGATGGTGTTAGATGCACAATAATTAAAAAGAAGGATTCATCTCCCATGCTCAGAGAGATTATTGGCTGTTTTGTGGATTTTCCACAGGCCGTCATTTATTATTTTAATATTATGGATAATTTATTCCGTGCTGTGAGAACATTATTATATTTTATTATCGGCAACTGTTGCACTGTGGGATGGACTTTGCCCAAGAGTACAGGTCTGCCCAGCTGTCCAACCTCTACCGCTGACCACGTTGTCCCAGCACTGCTATGAGGGACACCTGAAATACTCCCTCTCCTACAGCAGACTCTGCCTGGAAGGAGGAACAGCTGCTTTGCTCCAAGGTCTGTCTGTGGAGGGGCAGAAGGTAGGATTTGAGGCTCACATGCCCCATACATGGCATAGCTGGTGACCGTACCACCAAATACGGACCATCTCCACTGCATGCTGCAACAGCAGTTCTCATAAACGGAAAACTGCTTTCCAGGATTCCCCTGTGCACTCCCTTAATGAGACTTCCGAGGCCTCATTTTAGCCACTGGGTGAATATTTTAAATTGTTTTCACAGATTCAAGGGAAAGGCTTGCTTCTTTTTTTTTTTTTTTTTTTAAATTTTAAATAGTTGCCACAATTCACATTCAACGACGATCATTTAGCGTAGTAAAAAATTGTGTCTTTCAATATATGCAGTAGCACACCTCTACACCTACATCGATTTGTCTACACACCAACACATTCCTACAAACACATATTTGATTAAGAATTTATATAACTTCAGGCTTCAAGGAATTTTGGATCAATGCCTTTATTTTGCTTTTCTAAACAAATGAACTCAATTAAACATCACTTACAGCAAACCACAATGGGCAGTAGAATAATTTTCCCAAAGCTTCACTTTCCAATTTTTCCCTATTATGTGAGTCTAGGGAATCAATTAATTCCTAAAGGGAAATGATTAGAGTTTGCATTGCCAAACACCTTACCTTTCCCACCCACCTATGGAAGAGAAGAACTGTAGTGGCACGCATACAGAAAAAACTAACATTTATCAAACCTCTTACAATTTACTGTAATAAATTAAAGCATAAATAAATTTTAAAAGCCCTGCAGGCAAGCGGTATCTGAATCAAGACTGGATCTGCACCAAGTCAAGAAGTTCACTATACAGTCTCACAAGACCCATAAATCAGGTGCCGTGAACATATGTATTTTGGATTAATGTATAGGGTGTTAAATTTAATGCCTTAATATATGCACAGAGCGGTCAGGTTACAGTTGCTCTGGGAACTGTAATTTTGCACGTCCTGACCAATCTGCAGCTGGAAAAAAATAATAATAATAAGTAAAAAACAATCACACCACTTCATTCCCTTCAGCAGGTTTCATATATTAATTTCTCTCTTTTTGTACTTGGAGACGTGTGAAGCTGCAAAAGTATAGAAAAGCTAAATGAGATGTGAATTAACTTTCACCCTTTTCGAGCCGTTTGCATGAAACCTCACGTGTCCCAGACTGAGCGCGTGTCACTGCATGAAAATGATGTGCTTCTGGGTGTGATCAAGCTAATTTCTGAGTCAGAAGCATCTCACCAAGGACATAGTACAACCCCCTTCTTTTTCCTAACGCACCAAAGCCAACCACCAGCATTCACTTGCAAGTGACAGCTACAAGGAGAAACAATCTGCAGCTAATCCAGTTTAACACAATTTCTGCTGACGCTGCCTGATGCACACCAAATTGTTACTGCTACAGCCTTCTAACGGTTGGATTCTTATCTGTTTTAAGGCAAAGGGGTTTGTCTCTGTCCCGTTCTTCCTTTATTTCCAACCCCACCATCACTTGCCTCCAGGATTTGAGTATTTTTGTCCAACACCTTGTTTTTCCCACTTTTAAAACTGCTCACTTCCAGAAAAAAAAAAAAAAAAAAAAAAAAAAAAAAAAAAAAAAAAGGTTGGTTTCAGAGTCATCAGCCATTTTCAATATACCAAAAAAAAAAAAAAAAAAGTTGATTGCATCCATGCTTACTCCAGGTGCAGGGATGCACAACAGCTATGCAATAATTAGCCCTCTTCATCCTATTAGCACAATACCGACGTTCAATACAGATCACCAGTTGGTGGACAAAAATAAGCTATAACATTTCTATAAATGCACAGCTCAAAAGCAACAGCTGTGCACAATCACTCCTACGGTGGCAGTGGGAATTCTCAATAGGGGTAATGGGAAGTATTAAGCCCTTTTGCATGCAAAGGCCTTAGTTTCATTGGCACTACCACCTAAACCCAACTAATTGACCAGATTTGATGCAGAACTCTAATTTCTTACAACCTAGCTAATATTAAATTTTTGGTCCACTGACCTGCTCTAATGGTAGGGTCTTTGGTGGCATCCTTCTACCCTTCCTTACAGAGAACCATCGATGTTACAAAGAACAACTATTCCTTCTATATGTGTTAAAGAGGATATAAAAAAAAACATGTGGCACAACAAGCTAGGGAATGAAGATTCCTTAGGAAAGCAGAAAATCTGCTGACTGTCCCTTAAAAGAAAAGACAAGATCATCAAGAATATCAGAAATAATCACTGAAATTAGGCACGGAGTTCCGCTTTTTGGTGGCATGGTGTCAGTTGCAAATACCTAAAACATTTTTTAGTGTGTAGGACTTGAAAGGCCAACCTAACCTCTGCTGGACTCTTACTGCAGCTAACTGGCATCAAACCTCACATCGAAATCTGGGGAGATTTCTTATACACGCACACACACATTACATATATAGTATTGTCTGTTGCTATTTACATACATAGTATTTTGCATTACTATTTGTGCAAGACTACACACATATGCATATATATACACATACATATTTTTACACTCTTAATTATGTTACCTACGTGCACAGGCACACATACATTTAATTATATTTTAGATATACATACACATGCAGGTACACATGAAACTAAATATATGCATAAAACTATCAGGTATATACTCTGATTACGTATAGTATTTATTCATTGATCAAGTTTCTAATATGGGTAAAAAGGGGAAAAAAAAAAACCCTCCTCTCACTTTTTTCTATGAAATTGCACTTGGAGTGTGATTGCACTGAGGCTACAAGACCAGCTCTGAGGGAAAGGGGTACAGGACTGGGGTCCTGTATTTAAGGGTAGTTTACCCTGTATTTAAGGGTAGACAAAACTCCCATCAAGAATGGAAAAACAGCCCCAGGAGAACAGAAAAGCAGAGAATAATTAAACAGGTCTTACACGCGCCTTGTTTTCCTGGGTCTTGTATCTTCCACCTCCAGAGATGTCCAACATCTCGATTTGAAAACCACTTCACTGGCTTCGATGGAGGTTGTGGGGAAGCGCCATGCTCTTCAGCATCGTTAGTGCCATTAGAAAACAGCCCCTTTTTAGCAATGTACTTACTGTCAATCACAGAGACACATACCAACTTACCTGTTTGGTACTTCTCTGCCCAGTAGGAAGCAACGCTTTGGATTTCTCTGCTATTTTCTGTAAAAATAAATAAATAAATAAATAAACCAAAAAAAACAAAAACACAGGGAAAATGGCTGAGAAAACAGAGTCCAAATGTAGGGAAGGAATCATATGAAGCTACTTCTTCCGCTTTTTAAAGAAAAGGACATAGAGAAAACTCCCATTATTTCGAAAAAGAGAGGGAGTATAACCACATTGAAAAGTTTGGTCTTGCAGGAATTAAGCCTTCAAAGCTTCCAGAATGACAAGGTTATCAAAACCGAAACACACATTTAAGAAATGACAGCTAGGACGTGGATAAGTAGCAATTTACCACTCAGATTGGTTTTCTGACGCAACCGGGCATTCACAACTGCAGTGGCTAAATTTGGCACTTCTGAATTGATGACAGGTTTTTTTTAAAAAAAAAACAAACCCAAACCTACATGTTACAGTTCAGATGGATTGTACTCATGAACATTAAAAGAAAAAAAAAACATTTTAAGTGTGTGTATATATATGGGGGTGGAGCCTTGTACCTGAATCCTTCCAACTTCTCATTTAAGGGATAAACTAATTTCATTTCAAGACCCCACACTTAGGACTCTAAAGAGGAGAGAGATATAATTAAAAATATGAGATAGCACTAGAGATAGTGCCATGATATTACATACTGCCGAAGTGCAATTGTATGTGCTTCTATTTATTTATTTTTCAACCATGGGCAGAAAACGTTGGGAAATTAAATCAGTACAGGGTGTTTCTAATAGATACATTATTAGGTGCGTGCTGCCAGACAAATTTCATTACACCTGTATAATTAGAATAGATTCTCCTCATGTGGGGCAGGCATGGGTCAAACCCCCAGTAGTAGTATAAGAAAGCACCGAGAGTTTGTCCACATTGTATTTCAATTAAGCCAGATAGATGTTCAACTTGTTACTGCAGGGGAGAGAGGCAGTTTGAGGATGGTAAATTTGAATCATTACTACAGTGTTTAAAAGCAAAGCAAATCTGCTCATCAGGAGAGCCTCCCCAGGGTAAAGCGGGAGAGCAAGAAGCAAATGAAGGAGCTGGAGTTCAGGTTTTGTTTGTTTTATTAAACAGCTTGATCTAGGTGACAGGTCCATCCCACAAGATGCGTTTGGAAAGCTTCTGGCAAAGACGTATAAGACAGCAGAGCTATAAAACGGGTTAACATTTAAATTAGCAGTGCTGCCCACACATTTTCTGCCAGCAGAAAAGGGGAAAGGGGCACTGTACAATCAATACTTCTGCTCCCTTGACAGTGGAGACACACCAAAATAATTTTATGGCTAAGGCTGGGGTAGCACTGAAGGTCCAAATTTTTGCCAGATACACAGCTGGCAAAAGCACACTTTTTTTTTTTTTTTTTTTTTTTTTTTCTTTTTCCATTGCTGCCAAATTGTTCTGCAGTTGCATGTGTGTGCGTATTCCAATATAATGATACATCACTTGACTGATGAAGTAACAAAAGAGGGAGGACACTACACATGAGCAGCTCCGTGGAGATGCTCCACGCTCCTGGGAGCCACACTTGCTCACACTTAACGTGTTCCCAAATTCACGTAGGGAAGAGCAGAAACAAGAGGGAGACTTACCTTCTGCACAGCCCCATATCTCTGGATAGCATCGGACAGCTGGTTCTTCAGCCTGTCCAGCTGAAGTCGCTCTTGCTGTTTTGGAAAAACAGAGTCCTGGTTAACAGATCTGCAGAGGGAAATCAAGTAGCAGACTCTGTGTGTGACCATGGGAAACAGTTCTGTTGGGAGACTCAAAGTGGGCAGAAACAGTATTCTAAAAATTCAGTTTCACTGGGGCTGCCACGATGCTACAAGGTTTTATTTTAGGGAGGAAGCACAAGATGCTTTGACCTTTCAGGCCAAAGCAGTTAAAAAAAAAAATAATCACCTTGGATATTCAAGATAGCACTGAAGTCATGACTATGGCGTGGTCTACTCTGAGTCAGACACCTTCTGGGGCAGGGATATATAGTGGGACATTCTGCTGTCCTGCTTATTGAGTGAAGGAGATGTCGCTCCAATACCAGTTAATAAAGAAACACACAAAATTAATACCTTACTGCCATCAAAAGAGCAGCATGTAGCATGGTATCCTGCTTCGATTTACTAAAATCCAGCCTCAGATTATCTGCTGGAGATGACCGCACAAAAGATCCATCTACAAAAGGTCCTTTATTTGGATGATACCCCGTGACAGAGTTCATCACCTCATGTGATGGCAACGGGCAATTCACCGGACTTTAGACATCTATCAGCCACAGCAACCTTCCTTCTGCCTGGCCTCAGGTCCGATTGTCAGAAACCAATTTATCTCCATATTTTCCAAATCATGGACCAAATATCACCGTTTTTCTAACTGGAGCGTGTCCCTGCAAGATACCAATCTACGTTTTGAACAGAAGCGTTCTCAGAAAGAAGACCCGAGCCTAGCCTGACGTTAACTATCCAGCACGCTGAAAAGTTGCCGATTTCAAATGGAGTGACCAAACCCAGTGTCAGGCAATAGAAGATCTCCTGGAATTATTCTATTCCCTGGATCTCAGATTTCAAGTGAGCAGGAGCTCAGGTGTCCAGGTTTTAGAGAGGGGAATGAACTACAAGCAAGTGGGGCATCACCCTAAAAACAAACTAGAAAAAACGAATCTACACTGAAGCTACAAAGCCGAAACGTTCACTTTACAGCAGCTTCAGCTGTTTCAGACAACTGCTTAATTCAAAAATTTATAATGGACAGGATAAACATCTTTAATTTTTAATGGTAGTATTTTCATGCACAGAAGAATATCCCAGTCTTACAGTTCTTCATCCAAAGATTCGAAACCATTTTTAGAACAGGGCAAGTATCATTATTCCCATTTTACAGATAAAGGTTTATAAACCTTATGTTTGTTACACATACAAAATAAGATCGCCACCCTGGAGAGCTGATCTAATGGTCCAGCACTCATCCTGCAAAAACCTGGAATTCCAGATAGGCTTCTCTATTTAAGTCATAGAATCATAGAATTATAGAATCATTTAGGTTGGAAAAGAGCCTTAAGATCATCGCGTCCAACCGTTAGCCTAACACTGCCAAGTCCACCACTACACCATGTCCCTAAGCACCACACCTACACAATTTTTAAATACCTCCAGCAATGGTGTCTCAACCACTTTCCCGTGCAGCCTGTTCCAATGCTGGACAACTCTTTCAGTTAATAAATTTTTCCTGATATCCAATTTAAACCTCCCCAATCCTCTGAGGTTCGTTTGAAAGGAAGTCACGTGCTAATTTATGTCAGTCTCCTGCCTTGTATCACGCTGATCCACTTCTATCAGTATCTTTGCTCCTGAAATACTATCAATTTGCTCAGTTGGGCATCCTGGATCCAATAGCTCCAACAGCACTTGGAGCTTCAAGGGAAGTCAAAAAAAACTCCCACAGTACACCTTGTTGGCAGTACATTACTGGTGGAAAATAAAAAAGAAAGAATTTTTTTTTTCCATATATGCATACAGAGCAATACACAGAATAATGACTCAGAAAGGACTAACTATAAAGCTCCAAATTAATGGAAGGCTTTTCATGCTGTGAGAAATTTTATGGGAGGAAGTTTGCAATGCTATCCACATCCCCAAGAGGGACTTACCAACCAGCAGCCAATACCCACCAGAACTATTTATTCTATATACGGGACAAGGGCTAGAGGCTTTATATCCAAATTTGTAGGTTTAATTACTTAAACTGCACACTATTAGAAAAGAAGAGTTAAAAAAAAAAATAAAATAAAATCTGTTAAATTAATTGACCAGGGAGCAGAAAAAGTTATTATGTGATGCTAATATAGAGCTGCAAGTTTATTCCTCGCATCACTGTAATTGTTTGCGTGTCTGTTTCCTTCAGCTCTTAAATATTCTCCCTTTAACTTAGCAAGTTTTCTCCCCATGGCAGTAAAAGCTGTCCCCCTGAGAGTCCCCATGGGCACCACACTGGGCTTCAAGGGCAAAGAATGACAATCTTGTGTGGCAATATAATTGGGTTTAACGTGACCTTGCCTGATTCCTCTTTGGACCTAATTTATTTCACAAAATGAAGCCAGGAGATCAGCACAAAAAAAAAAATCCCAGATCCCCATATCTCCAAGAAAGCAACTTCTGTTTCATCAAGCTCTGATGTAACTATTCTCAGAGTATGCAAGAAAAAAGAAAAAAAAAAACAGTCCTTGTAGTCCATCACTAATCAAAGCAACTTGTTAACAAAGATCAAAGTATTAAGGTTGATGCTTGCATAAGGTTGATGTCTATGGATGGAGAACAGACATTCCAGGCTGCCCTCCCCGTCCTCTGGAGTAGAACAACATCTATTTTTATTTTTTATTTAGGAGGGCTGAATTGCACATAGTCCTCCTCAGGTTACAAAGGTAGCCTGGAGTGGTTCAGCTCTTAAATCCTTCTCTCATATGCCTGTTGGCAAGTGACATAAATCCAGGCTGTAAAAAAACACTTGGACAGAGATGAGTTGTGTGTTTAGAGTAGGGTTTGTTTTGTTTTGTTTTGTTTTGTTTTTTTCTAGGTGGAAGGACAGTGAGAACAGAGTTGAAGTAATAGAGCATTTCAGAAAATGGCAGGAAGCGAGTGAGGATAAAACACCAATTCAGGTAAGTTCCTGACCTAGAAACTTTATGGATGCTGGAAGCAAGAATGTAACAGAGAACTGCTAGGCAGAATGAAGTAGAAAAAAATGGTCCCGATTCTCATTTCAGTTCCTGAATCACCTGTTATGTGGGTGAAACTTCTCCTCAACTCCCACACCAGCTAGGGTTTGCCCCCCACAGTACGCTTCTTGCTCTTCCCCACAATGCACACCACAGGCCAAAGTCAGCAGGAACATACGGGGTGTAAAGTTTTTGTGGGAAGGTCAGAAACCTTCTGTTTGTCCAAGCATTGCACTAGGGTCAAGGCATGGGGATCCTCCATATCTCTGTGACAACGATGTTCGTATGAGTTGAAACTACTGATGACAGAAGACCATACAACAGATGGGGTTATTGTGGTGTAAACTCTACATCCTGCTCTGATCTGGCCACAGCCTGCAGTTACCTATCCTTCACATTAGCACAGAGCACTGAATCGATGTCATATCCCGACATATTCCACTGATTTGCCCTTTCTGGACACTTTGGCACACTTTCAAACTATTCTGCACCCAGTGCACCCATTGCACAACTGAGTCTTTAACCAGTGCCAAATTCACGTGAAGCTAGATGATTTCTGCAGTATTTTCACCCAAACTGAGTGAGACCCTGAGACAGGTGGGAGCTAGTCAAGGCTTTGTTGCGAAGTTCTTAAGTTCCAATTCCACATGATCCAGCTTGGGGAGAAGAACCATTTTCTGCAGCTGTTTTCCCACTGGTCATTTATAAATGCAAGCTATGCTTATTGCACAACAGAAAATAAAGTTATAACAAGACATGGAGCTCAACGTCTTTAAAACCCCCACTACCACTTATTTTTTTCATTATTCCTCCCTCCATAAGACCCCCTGCTCTCTCCCCAAACAGCATCTTGAATGACACATACCCTGGATGAACCTCTGACAACCTCAGACAGCTGCTTGATGGCTTTGGTGCTAGTCGTGATGGTTTTATTAGTCTCCTGCTGGGTTGCGTGCCTGCAGAAGAGAAGAGATGATGGCAATTGCAATTGAAATTAATTGCATAATGAGACACAAAAATTTATCAAGCTGCAGAGCAATTGAGACAACAAAACACACAAAAACATGGAGGCACGGTAGGACTTGGTGAGTACAGGGTCTTGACTACCAATGGCAGCCAGAAGGCTGCAGGAAATACTAGCAAGGAGCTGCCCAAAATGATCTTCCTGTGATCAGCTCAGAGACAATGGCTGTGGACCTGCAAAGTCAGTAAGGGATGATAAGGTGAAAATAGGAGGTGGACAGGTAAGAAGGCCATCACAGCTGGTTGGTATTGCAACTAAAATTGTCCAAAGAAAGGTTGCGTAGGTAAAAGAGATGGGACTGGGGAGCTACCTGATGACTTGCCCAGGTAAATTTTGTACTCAGAAGAGAAATCTGAAGAGACAGAAATTGAGCAGGACAAATTTACTTACTACGGTCATCTACCTACTAATGAGAGTATCTTCAGGAAAGCACCGTGAAGGTGCAGTGCTGCTTTAGGAGTACTGAAACAGGCAGGCAAGTGCCAAACCAACCCCCTCTCCAGTCATGGTTGTCTCTCTCCTTTACATCCCAAATTCCAGTACATTTTTTTCTTGGAAGCGCTGGTTGCTGGCTTTGCTGTTCAGGACCACACAAAGTAGGGGGAAGAGACATAAATGCTGCCCAAAGGTATTTATTATTTCAATATAGTAGTTCTCAAGCTTTATAAGGTCAACAGGGCATATTCAGCCTCTGAGCTTCCCCAGGGAGCACATCGTATCTTTTTAGTCAGAAAGGGGTGGTTTTCCATAACGCTTCAGTCAAAACCTCTAGAAAGACTCAAGAACAACCTGGAGAAAATGATCTTTTTTTTTCCTCCCTTAGAGGACACATTCGAGCCATGGTTTGTACCGAGCAGACTCAGTTGTCAGTGCGCTTTTTTCAGGGTGGGCAGGATGTGAATTAAACGGAAGTTTTTTTGATTAAAAAATATTAAGATATTACTATTTATGGCCCCTCTGTCCTGAAGACCCATGGCTTGAACTGGCTTTACAGCTCCTTCCTAATTCTCTGTCAGTACTGATGAAGACCAGCTCTTTCAAGACTTACGTCAAGTCTTTCAGCTCCTCCTTTGAGGAACAAGGCCAGCCCCTAGTCTTTACCAACTGCTACCTTAACTACAAATAAATTGAGACCTCTCAACAAGCACTTCACCGACTGTTGTTTCCACCTGCTCAGGGAAGATGGACATAGGCACCACAAACTGTGATAATCAACCTCCATAGCAAAGCTTGGCAGTTTTTGGGGTTTTTTTCCACTGAACTAAGATCTCTGTGCAGAGAGCTCAGGCCGGAAAGCTCTCTAGGATAAAAGTACATTTAATTTTATGTATTGTACCTATCGGGTATACAAGCGAAAGCTTAGCATACCATGAAGATCACATCTCTCAGGTGCAGAACAGTAACTCAGATGTATGTTAAGGGTTGGACAGGTACACAGAAGCCATGGACTCCTTCGGCACCATATAGGAAATAATCTCATATGAGGACAAGACTGGATCCAGTAACTCATTCTCAGTTCTCCTTCGTTAAATTAAGATGCCGTATCTGTATTAATTTATCAAAATGCACTTCATTTATTTATGATCCCAGGACCCACTGCACCAGCTGACTAATTGCATCACTTTTAACTTGAGATGGAAGAGGTAATATCTACCACAGACAGGTATTTCACACTGTCACTGCAAGAGAGGAAGCTGGGAATTGAATCTTGTCTCACATCACCTATCTTGAGGAGTACACAGTTAGCTCCCTCCCGAATCTTTTAATCAAGTAAATCTTGCCACCAAGTGTATGCATTCCATAAATAGCAGTTTCAAACCTGAGACTTCTACAACTAATTTGTCTTAATGTAATGCAAGATGCTGGAGATGACGTCCAGTCGTTTTGCAGACCTCATTAAATTATCTGCCCACAGAACAAGTCAGGGATTTAGATACCAGCAATTCCCCATCCCCAAAGCAAAATGGCTTGTTAGGCTCATGCATCTGATCCTTCCCAATCTCTAAAGTTAAATAAAGTCTCCTTCATTTGCATTCTAATGTAAATTTTATGTTAGATATCTTATGTAATAAATCCATGCCTTGCACAAACTTTGCACCGAACTGCTGCAAAGTAACTAGGAGCGGGAGTACAGAAAATAAAAGATCTGCCGTTCACTTCTTCATTCAAAATGCACTTTAACCAACATGCTGGTGCTTGATTTTGGCACTTCCCACTATGCTGTCAGCACAATGAACTTCTAACTCTTTGTCCTCAGAGATACGCTCAGGAATCAGAAAATGATGATACTTAATTTACATTAAATGCTACTAAGATCTTCATTAAAAACGAGACACTGAAACTCCACTCCCTGTAGAATTTATTTTAATATGTAATGGTAACAAGTTATATCATTATTATTATTTTTCTTTATATTTCTCTCCCCATGGAAGTGTGGAAGTTAATTAAAGGGGTGTCTCTGATGAATAAAATTTCCTTCTGAAAAAGTCCTCCACACAACAGTAAGTTAAATAGTCTGTGGAGATACAGAGTACCTAAAATATAAACATTGTAAAAGACTTATCTGTCTACAGCACTACTCTGAAAATAAGCACCCTAAGAGTAAAAACAAAAAGGGCATCTCTCAGGAAGAATAACATCTCCCGCTGTGCATTTCTGTGTGCACAAAGATTGCAAAGACAATGCACTCAACAGGACAAGAGATGCCACACTGCTGCCCGAGAGATTCCTATGGCTGCTGTTTGCTTTACCAGAGAAGTACAGACCACCAAATCCATAAACCGCAGCACGCAGCTGCGTACAGTTTGTTCTCTGAACGATCTTATCTCTAATTTATTTATCTAGCTTTAAAATAAGCGTAGCAAAGAGCCAGATGCTACGACGGCTGCCTCCTTTCTCCGCAGGGACAGAATGAAGGAGCTTAACTACTGTTTGCACTACTTCTTTGAGACGCTTGATGAATGACCAAGTCAACAAAAAATAATCAGACCCCAAACGCAACAGCAAAGACCAACAAGGAAAAGGCATCTCTGCCTCACTCTATCTGCTGCTATTCAAAATAATCTCAAAGAACTTTGTTTTCTCGTTCCAGCAGGAGAAAGGCATTTTCATTTGTAATACAGGATATGGCTTACTTTGCTTTCACATGATCCCTCAAATAAGAGCAACAAGCTTTCCACCTACAGATCAAAGGTATCTTTACTATACTGGCTTAAACTTCATTAGATTTAGTAACCCCTTTGGCACAGCGCAACTGCATAGCGATGGAGTAGTTTTATGCATTTAATTGCTGAGTGGTCAAGCAGGTTTGGCTACAGTTAAGTCAGGCAGCTCAGCATAACTTAAACCATATACTTGTCTTTTGCACAGCCGCTGTAATGCTTACTGCAGTTTTCTTGTGCAAAAAGAGGTAAAATTATAATATGTGAAGCAGAGCACTGAGGTGCATGATCTGTGCCTTAAGTAGAAATAGGTTGTGTATCAGCATTTATATAGATTCCACTGTTGTTGGAGACAAATACGTAAGGGAGATTCACAGAATCATCTCGGTTGGAAAGGACATTGCAGCTCCTCCAGCCCAACCATGACCCTCCCCCTGACCGTTCCCAACTCCCCCAGACCCCTCAGCGCTGGCTCAGCCCGACTCTTCAACCCCTCCAGGGATCCCGGGGACTCCCCCCTGCCCTGGGCAGCCCATTCCAACGCCCAACAGCCCCTTCTGCACAGAAATCCTTCCTCAGAGCCAGCCTGACCCTGCCCTGGGCAGCTTGAGGCCATTCCCTCGGGGCCTGGCGCTGGGGCCTTGGCTCCAGAGACTCATCCCCCCTCTCTGCCCCCTCCTGGCAGGGAGTTGCCGAGGGCCAGGAGGTCTCCCCTCAGCCTCCCCTCGAGTATGCATAAGGGAATACTTCACACCTTAAGCACTTTAGCCAATCTCTTCCCTGTCTGTGAGCTGGATTTTGTGAAGGACTGATAGCTGTGGGAGCTGACAACAGGCCTCGGCAAACTATAAACACGTGAATATAAAACTTTATGCACTGGTCACAGGGACAGCAATGGAGAAGCAAGGGGTACTTTAGTCCCTGAGGCTCCTATTCCCCTTTCTCCACCTAATCAAGATGCTTAACTTCAGAGCAAAGCCAACGGAGGTCCTTTATGGTCTGTGGAGAGGGGCACCTCTAAAGGCACTGCAGAGAAACCCATTCTTCAGTGGTAACCCACCACTTCGGGTGTCTCCCATGCAGCCAGGAGGATCCTACAGCAGAGCTAAGGGTGTTTCCAGAAACCGATGATCCAGGCTGATGTGTTGAACAGTTGTATTAGCAAACACTTATCTATAGGACGGAAACTCATGCTACATTAGACTGCTATAACTTACTTCCCATAGACAGCCCCACACCTCATCCCCTCGGGCTGCTGGCTTTGCTTCCGCACAATGAACGCAGTGGGCATCTCTCATTTATAAGTATTTATAGCAGATGTAAACAAAGTAGAAAGATGAGCTAACAGGAAAGGTTGTTTCACCAAGCCCTAAAGCATCTTTACTGTATCGTTACAGTTCCAAAGGAGGAAAGGCTAAATCTACTTGTTCTGGCTCCAGACTGAAACTTCCAACTCTTTTTTTTTTTTTTTTTTTTTTTTTTTTTTTCCCTCCCCTTTCTTCTTTAGGACCTGATTGTGCATGCTGAGGAATCATTTACAACAGAGCAAAATAGGAGCTCTAATTCTGATCTGTCAGCGAACCCCTTTGCATAGGTGTAAATCATCCAGCAGAGTAAAAGTCGGGAGAAAAATGGACTGCTGCTTCCACGTTTCAAGCCACACAATATTCTATAATAAAAGCATCATAGATTTCCAATTTGCCTGTCACTTGAAAGTATTAGGAGATGTGGCGCTCTTTTTCTTTAGGGAGTTTAGGGGATGGGCTGTGGT